TGATGGATGTGATTCTTTTTTTGAAATGGTTTGTTTGTTTTGTGAAGCTCATGAGATTAATATTCTCAATATGGATGATATATTCATAACTCTAGGTCGTTCATGGCGTGAGACAGTGACAAATTTGCATCATTATCGTGTGGAAATGTTTCATGATATCATTGATATGTAATTTCAAGAGCTAAATGGTCATTTTTCTAAGGTAAATAGTGTCTTGCTTCTTTGTGTTACGTGTTTGTTTTCAAATAACTCATTTGATACTTTTGACAGGAATAAAGTGATTCGACTATGTTAGTATTATTCGGTAGATTTTGATGCAACAAATATCTCAGAACTTGATGATCAATTAGATACATATGTTCTTAACATGCGCACCTTCGAAGATTTTGAAAGATTATAAGGCATTAGTGATCTTGTACAGAAGTTGGTTGCGAAAAATAAACATGAACTATATCCATTAGTCTACAAGCTTGTGATATTAGCCTTAGTTTTTCATGTGGCTAGTGTTACAGTCGAGAGAGCATTTTCTGCGATGACTTACGTCAAAAATCGTCTATGCAATCGAATCGGAGATTAATGGTTGAATGATAGTTTAATTGCATATATTGAAAAATATGTATTTAATGAGATTGAAAATGATATAATTATGAAACATTATAATCAAGTATATGTGGTTTTCGAGAGTACATGAGACCAGTCATTTGTGATGATGGGAATTATTTGAAGGGTCAGTACAAGGGAACACTACTAGTAGCTGGAGCTCAAGATGATAACATGTAGATATATCTTATTCATTAAAAAAAGTCTAGAATCAGATACCAACTTCAAAATTGGATTTTCTAAGTTACTCGATACACAAAGTGGTAATGAATACAAAAACAAGCCATAAGTAACTGAATTTTCTAAGTGGAAATCACCACAAAAGCAAGCCATAAATGACTGGATTTTCTAACTCGCTGGATATACTTAAACATTTAAATTATGATTATAACCTCTTCTACATATCCTCAACAATGGTCAAAGAAGACTTTTCACTGTCACCCTCGTCATTGAAGCGTATGATGATCACTTCTTCTATGATGGCGGGAACCGAGCCTACATTGTTTCCCAACTCATCTTCACAAGGAATGCCAAACATGACATAGTGTTCTTCCGGGCAAGAGTTCAACGTAAGTGACCTCGTGATCCTCAATATAATCACCAACTCCAACTTCATATGGCTCAGCTTTGTCAATCAAATAGGGAAATGGAATTGGATGAAGATTTATCCTACGGTGACGGTTCCCTAGCTGAGGGATGAAGGGAACTATGAAATGTATTTCTTCACCATCTTCGGAGTCGATGATTATTGGGTTATCCGCTGAAGTTTGGATGGGGAGTAGTTAACATCGAAGTATTTCGAGGAGTTTGTTGAGTAGACGAAGACATAATAGAGGGTAGAATTTTTACAAGTAGTAATTTTTGAAATCTATACACGCTTATATAGACGAGTACAATATGAAATACATTACATTAAAGCCCTACACACCAACTCCTACTCTATGTAATTACATTGGTTTGACACCTTAGGTTTACAGAACTTGTCAATGTCACTTAAATGCAATGATGAAGTTATTACACAGCTAAATCTGAATGTTAAGTAATAGGATTTTCAATTAACGATAGGAGTTTGCATCTTCACCTATTCTCATTTAACTATTCATCTAATCTCAACTTCATTTTGACATTCAGGTAATTTGTTTGAGTTTGTATTTGACATTTCATGACATTCTCGACATTTTAAAAACTATTATCAACATTTGAACCATGTTTATCTGAACACTTCTCGACATTTTAAAAACTATTAATAACATTTGAACCATGTTTATCAAGTGGTAGAATGAGATTTCGTACATAAAAAAGAGAGTTCTCTACATTTCATAGAGTTCTTGACATTGGAAGTCAAGTTTTCGATATTTAATATATGTTAATCTCGACTAAAAATATTTCATTTGTCGGGAATGACAGCTCGACAATGGTAACATTATAATACAAGATAAAAAAATACTAACTTGACACCATATACCAACTCTTATCAAAATTAAAATGATCGAACTGAATAACATGCTACTGATGAAACAAACATAAGTTTGCATCGATTTTAATTTTACATCCAATCACTAAATTGTACCATCAGTAAAAAAAAAATTACGAATGGTACACAAAATGACATTATTCACATTTTCCCAAACTTACAATGTTCTACTGTAAAGCTTGTAATTAATGCGAACTCCGACGTTCCAAATCTTGCAAACCTTCAATTCACCTTGAGCCTCGTACCATTTTCTCAATATATTCACCATTTCCTAAACCAATTGCATAGATAGATTGAACTCCAACAATTTTCCAACATGCCATATGCAGCTGTCCTCAAACTGACTTTTTTTGCTGTGCATTAAAAATTTCACAGTGAGAATTACACGAGAGTTAAACTTGTTAAAAAATATGCATATAAAACCAATTACAAAGGCATAAAACAAACAAACCCTATATACCCCACCTTCTTCTCTTTTCTCTCCTAGCATTATACCAATAATTTCTTGAAATGAAAAAGACTAGAAAAAGAAAGAAATTGGCAGAGTTCATAAGATTTTCATGTCCTAAATTTTGCATCACTCTATAAACTCTCCCTTTAGCACTGTGTCTGTGTTATGTTGGATTTTTTTTTTTTTTATATACTTTTCATTTTCTCTCCCCCTTTCATTTCCTTTCTAACAAACACATACGGTTGTCTTTCCTATTTTTTTTCCCTGAGATTTAAACATATGTTGGTTTGCAGTTTGGAAAATTATTAATTTTTTTCCGGGGCTAATTGGCCCTAGTCTTTACGTGAATCATAAAATCTACCATTTTTTATGTTTCTACTTTCCAATTCTTCAAATTTTCACAGGTATGCTTTCAATGTATATTGAGCTTATACGAGTGAAATTAATCATCCAAGAAACATGGGCAGATATTTTTCTTATCTATAACATGTTTAGAAAACATGAAACAACACATTTCAACAAATGAAGAAAAAATATCAAATTTGATCAATGGAAGATGTAATGAAAAATGTAAATACTGAACACATTAATCAACAATGGAACACATGAATGTATGATGAATTCTTGCACTAAAATATAGAAATTGTTATAAATTGTATTTTAAGAAATACAAGTGGATGTTAATCTTTTTATAATTGCAAAACTGTAAAATTCTCTGATTAATGATCTGAATGTTTGAAAACGGGGAGTTGCGTGGCTTGAATTTTGGACTTCGAGATTTGTTGAGAATTTGGCTTGTTTGGTCCTTGGATTTCGGGGTTTGGATTTTCACTGCGGGACTTGGACTTGAATTTAATTTGATTTGATTTGAAGAAGACTTTGATCTTCTTGGACTTGCTTGATTTGAAAAAATTTTGATCTTCTTGGTGTTAGTTGGACTTAAACTTGAGATGAATTCTTCTTTTTCTTTGACTTTGAAGTTTTTTCAACGCTTCATGATTTTCTCGTGCACTTTCACTTGTGAAATTTTATGGACATTTGATCATATTTATAGGGAAAATTCGTAACTAATTTTGGTAACCGCACAATTATCTTTAATTAAAAGGAATAATTGAGTAATTATAATTTTTTTTGAAAAAAATGGGATGGGCCTTTGAATTTTCTATGGGCACTTTAATTTGATAAATTTAATTGGGTTAATTATTTAGATCAACACAATCCATTATTTTATTTATTTATTTTCATGTCTACAATGAAATAATGAAAAGTCCATGAAAAAATTAAAGAAACAACAACGTTATTCAAAAAAATGTCAAGAACTATTAATAGCAAACATTTCATGTGATTCAAGCAAAAATTGGAAGAGATTCACGACTGACTGGCTATATGAGACTCACGATCGGTGTTGGCTATTGAAAAATGGCGATCAACGTGGGCGATTTAGGTGGAAAAATTTCAGAGTTGAGAGAAAGATTAAGGCTTCTGAAAATTTGGCTTCTTCTTTCATGTGAGGTTATGTGTTGTTTTAAGATTATTTTTTTTAGTTGATGGGTCAGGTTGGGTCGAGTGGTTTGTGACGGGTTGGACGAGCAAACCATCCAATTGAACCAACCCATTTCAAAAGTCAATAATTGAAACCCAACAAAAAATTATGTAAAAATCGGATTTGGATTGGTTTTCATCCGCATGTAACCCTAAATGATCCAACTAAAAAATATGAAAAAATTGGTGGTTATTGACCCATTCCTAGTGAGAAATTAGCACGTCATGTATGAATTGATAATTACACTTTTTCAAATAATAAGTAGTATAGATTATGTGTCAAATTTCTATTTGTTAACATAATTTATAATTACTATATAAAAAAATTTGTTTTCGTAGTGAAATTTGAAATTGTGCATTTTCGTCTAAATTTTAGAAAAATGGACACGAAGCAAATTTTGAACATTTTTGCAAATAATCATGCAATTTCCTCTTATTTCAATGGTAACACAAATAATTTTTCAAAAACTTAAATTTGAATCAAACTCCAAAACTCACGCCATAAATGGGGTCTAAGGCCCCGTTCGGGAGGGATTAAAAGCCAATTAAAATTGAAAATATGGTCGTTATTGGGTCCCATTCGTCTAATAAAAGTTAGCAATAACGACTATATTTTCAATTTTAATCCGATTTTAATCCCTCCCAGGCCTAAAAGTTGAAGATGAACAAAAGTATGGTAGTGAAAAACACAAAAGCTGTCTCAGTTAGTTGTCGTTGAAGCAAAAAGCTACACGTAAACAAGAAGGTACGAGGCCACGTTTCAATCCAAGAGTGGAGATGAGGTTTGCTGTAACGTGTGGTCATCACACTTCTCTTTCTCTTTCCACTACTGTTCTGTCTGACTTCGTTGCGTAGATATTTCTCCAATCCTCAGGTATTATTTCCACTCTGCAAAAACCAGTAATTACTGGTAATTATCTATGATATATGGCTATGGTGGCGAAGTTACCCTTGCCATCAATTGATTGCCATCATGCAGCCGCCCAACCTCGGCCGTCGTCCCGTCAAGTTCTCCGGCATGGTTTTGGGTTGTGGGACCGATTGGGTCGTGGGAGAATTTTTGTTCAGCCATGTAGATCTTTCAGGTCTGAGGAGGAAAGTGGAGTCGGTGAGAAAGGGAAGAACAGTGAAGAGAATTTTGGGAAAATTAAGGAAAGTAATGTTGTGGAGGCTGAAAGAAGTGTAAATAAATTTGTGGGCTTTGTGAGAAATGCTGTTTGGAGAGTTTCAAAGCCAAGTTTAAGGTCACAAGGCGAGTTCAGAGAGGCTTTGGAGATGCTGGAAGAGAAGTTATTTTCTGTAAGTTCTATTTTCTTTTTTGGAAATTTTATTTGAATTGATCATAAAATTCTGTACTATTAATGCTATTTATCTATGAGTCTAGATAAATAGTATTATTCATCTGAGAAATATGAAACCTATTAGTTAGCTTTAGTGTATTATGGGAAATTAGGCAAGATTGCTAGTTTTGAAAATTCAATTGATTCTGGAAAAATTGTCTAACATTGAATCAAACTCCAATGAGTTGTTAAATTTGGTTAAAGTCCGCAATTAAGTTAATTTTAGTTAAGTTTCTCAGTTGAAGTATGTGACAAAGCCATAAAAAAGTGCGGTTTCAAAAGTTTCAAAATTTGGTGGTCAAGAGTTTCTTTAATGGTTCTGATTTTTATTAAAAAAAAAAAATAAATAAAAGAAATAGGAAGGGAACATGAAATCACCAATTCCAATTAAGTTCCTTCGTAACTTCACCAAGATCTTTAGTTCCTTATGTATTTCTTGAGCCAAAGAGGAGAAGAATGGTGTATGGGACTTTCTCCATATGTATTCTGCTGTTTTGTATTTGTAAGAATCGAAAATTGGATGAAAATCACGTTCAAATTGGTTTCCAAAAGAGTTCTAATCGAATAAGGAAAGTTGTTTTCGGCGCGAATTTTTGATAATATTCCATTCCTTTTTGATTTCTAATTGCTTCCAATCGACCCTTAGCACTCTCGAACCTTCATCGTGAGCCCTGATATATTTTTTGAGTATTTGTACTTTAGTCCCTGAACTTTCACTTTCTTCCATTCTGGTTATTTTTCACTTGTTTTTCCTTATTTCCGCTACATTTATTACTTGTCCTGCAAAACATGAATTGTATAGAATTAAGTTATATTCTAACATATTAATCAATAATTGCTCATATTTTGATAGTAAAATAAGTATGTAAAAACGTACTTATCATGTCTCGATTCTTTTTTAGACTACTTTTCGCGGGTTTCAATATTGTTCTTTATACCTTCGATTTGCGAATTTGATTCTATGTCGATCTTTGTTCGCAAATTACTTGATCTCGCACTTCTATGCAATAATCTATAGACACTTAAAATCAATTTGTTAGAAATAAAAATAATTTATTTGTCATAATCAAAACAAGACGTTAACCATATGTCAACAAAATCTTGTTTTCATGGTGGAATTGGAAATTGTCATTAAGTGCATTTTCGTCTAAATTTTAGAAAAATAGACAAGAAACAAATTTTGGACATTTTTACAAATAACCGTTCTTGCAATTTCCTCTTATTTCAATGGTAACACAAATAATCATTTAAAAACTTAAATTTGGTCAACTTACTATTGCAGACACAATTTTTCCAAATTATACCAATTACCGTGGAAATCAAACCCCAAAAACACGCCATAAATGGTGATCTAAAAATTAATTTACAGAAAAGTGTACAAATGATTTTTTCCTAGTGAAAAACACAAAAGCTGTCTCAGTTAGTTGTCGTTGAAGCAAAAAGCTACACGTAAACAACAAGGTACGAGGCCACGTTTCAATCCAAGAGTGGAGATGAGGTTTGCTGCAACGTGTGGTCATCACACTTCTCTTTCTCTTGCCACTACTGTTCTGCCTAACTTCGTTGCGTAGATATTTCTCCAATCCTCAGGTATTATTTAACCCAAGAGAAAAATTGGAAAAAAATTGACACGCAATTACCATAGTCTCTGCAAAAACCAGGTGTAATTACTGGCAATTATCTATCATATATGGCTATGGTGGCGAAGTTACCCTTGCCATCAATTGATTGCCATCATGCCGCCGCCCAACCTCCGCCATCGTCCCGCCAAGTTCTCCGGCATGGTTTTGGGTTGTGGGACCGATTGGGTCGTGGGAGAATTTTTGTTCAACAATGTAGATCTTTCAGGTCTGAGGAGGAAAGTGGAGTGGGTGAGAAAGGGAAGAACAGTGAAGAGAATTTTGGGAAAATTAACGAAAGTAATGTTGTGGAGGCTGAAAGAAGTGTAAATAAATTTGTGGGCTCTGTGAGAAATGCTGTTTGGAGAGTTTCAAAGCCAAGTTTAAGGTCACAAGGCGAGTTCAGAGAGGCTTTGGAGAAGCTGGAAGAGAAGTTATTTTCTGTAAGTTCTATTTTCTTTTTTGGAAATTTTATTTGAATTGATCATAAAATTCTGTACTATTAATGCTATTTATCTATGAGTCTAGATAAAGAGTATTATTCATCTGAGAAATATGAAACCTATTAGTTAGCTTTAGTGTATTATGGGAAATTAGGCAAGATTGCTAGTTTTGAAAATTCAATTGATTCTGGGAAAATTGTCTAACATTGAATCAAACTCCAATGAGTCGTTAAATTTGGTTAAAGTCCGCAATTAAGTTAATTTTAGTTAAGTTTCTCAGTTGAAGTCTGTGTCAAAGCCATAAAAAAAGTGCGGTTTCAAAAGTTTCAAAATTTTGGTGGTCAAGAGTTTCTTTAATGGTTCTGATTTTTATTAAATAAATAAAAGAAATAGGAAGGGATTTTTAAGTTTTTGTAGAACTTTCTGCTCATCCTAGGTGTATATAATACAATTTAAGAGCTTAGAATTGTTGTTGGAATTATACTTGTAGGAGAGGGTGGCGTAAATTTTGGAAAATTTGTGTATTCCTATCAAGATTATTCATGTCAGTTCAGTAGTAATTTTGGCCTATCCGAGTATTGACATGTATTTTAATACGCTTTTCCTCCTAACAGCTTTCCATTCACGTGGGTAGATACATTGTAACGATGTTAAGCACTGGAGTTATACTGCTAACTGGGTTTCAGTTATCAGGTTGGCCTATGGATATTATTTTGCTGTTGATTTAAGAGTTGATTTCATTATAAAATTTGGAAAATTTGCAGCCTGGTGTAAGTGTTAATTTGGAATTAATGCAAATGTTGTAAAGGTGGAGATGGTCAAATGAATGCATTGATATGGTATAGTTGGCTTGGAGGGATCATCATTGGGACAATGATTGGTTCGAATATGGTGTTAGAGGAAGTCAGTCGATCAGGTCCACGCAATGTTGTCATAACTGGAAGGTATTTTTTCTCGTTGAGACATGAAATGACTTTATTTCATCCCCCTAGTATTTGGAGAACTTCTTTGAACTGCACAATGCCTATTTTCTGCTGCTCCTAGCTCACTATTGAAATTACCTAGGACAGAAATCCTAGTATATTATTCTCTTGAGGTTCCAAGTTTGATGCTTGAATAATTCGCAAATTGATAAGCAATTTTTTATTTATTTTTATTTTTATTTTATTTTTTTACTTAAAAAGTTAAGGAAAAGGTAACATGTCTAAACATACTAAATGTTAAAAGTAACTTTTTCATATTTTTAGCTCAGCCAAACACATTCTCAGATTTTTTCAACATTAGCTAAGAATCTGTTATTTTTCCTTGGATGGATCTATCCATTTAGTAGCTATTACTGAATCTCATGTTAACCCGCTAGAGCTTTGCTGATATATGATTTTATTTTTGAAACTAACTGTTGGGCAGTACACGAGGACTTGGAAAAGCTCTTGCTCGTGAATTTCTACTTTCCGGTGACAGAGTTGTAGTTACTTCACGCAGGTGATTTAAAACTGATATTGTTAAATCTTTATGTTTCTCATCTATTTTTTTATTTATATTTGGTTCTTCTGAAGGCAGCCCTGAATCTGTGGACATGACTGTCAAAGAATTAGAAGAAAATTTAAAGCAAGTCATAATCGCCACTGGTGGCTCATCCAAAACAAATTTAAGGCATGCAAAAGTGATGGGAATCACATGCGATGTCTCTATTCCTGATGACGTTCAGAAGTTGGCAGAATTTGCTGAAAATGAACTTGGCTCAATAGATATTTGGGTAAACAATATGCTTTTCATATTTCTTGTCCGAAGAATCTGTCATTTTCTAGCCATGTCTTGGCTCTATCCTCTCTTGTTTGCCCATTTTGAAGTGCTATTTGCGAAAAAATGGGCTGCAATTAATGGGGCTATGATCATTTTCACTCGGATTTATAAATTATGTGGTTTTTAGCATAATAAGTAATGATTATAATTTCCTCAGATATTAGTTGCCAAAATCTGGGCTTATTTCTTTATTTCCAAAGGACTCTTTTATCTACACAGAATTTGTATAAAAAAATCTCTTCTTATTTCATTATGTGATTTTTAATTATATTATTCCCCAGGTCAACAATGCTGGGACGAACAAAGGTTTTAGACCATTGCTGCAATTTAATGATGATGATATCCAACAGGTCTGCTCTTTTATGAAATTAATTTCATAATCTTCTACTTTTGCTGCACTAGTTTGTGTACATGTCATTTTTACAAGAATCTGTTGTCTTCTGTATAATATTAAGATTTCTGAATTTCCATTTTTTGTTGGACAGATTGTGTCTACGAACTTGGTTGGATCCATCCTATGCACTCGTGAAGCAATGCAGATTATGAACACCCAGAACAAGGGTGGCCATATATTCAACATGGATGGTGCAGGATCTGGTGGATCTAGCACCCCACTGACAGCTGTGTAAGTTTAACACTAGAGAGTAGAGAAACTTCTTATATTTTGCAGAAACCGAACACTTGCATCTGATGATTAGATTTCCTTGTAACTTTTTTATACAGCTATGGCTCAACAAAATGCGGTCTTAGGCAGCTCCAGTCGTCTCTTCTAAAGGAGTGCCGACGATTAAAAGTTGGAGTTCATACAGCCTCACCAGGCATGGTTCTAACGGACTTGCTATTAAGGTATACCAATAGCTCTATGGCTTTTACGGCTCATTTGGTAAGGTGAAAGAAAAATAAGTTAAACATTTGTCTATTGTACTACTAAGTCCCATTTATTGATGCAATTCTGATTTCTTGTTCAAGTTGCTCCATTATGCATACTTTTAAGGTTCAATTTTGTGTTTATAGTTATCTTTTTCATATAGCGTTCTGTATGTTATTTATTCGCTGACGCACCTAACTTTTGAAATATTCTGGTTTTGAAACTAAGATTTCCTAAGGATTTTTTATTGAAGCCATTCGTGTTTCCGTGACAGTGGTTCTAGTGTACAAAACAAACAGATGTTTAATATCATCTGCGAGCTTCCAGAGACAGTTGCTAGAACTTTAGTTCCTCGAATGCGAATTGTAAAGGGAAGTGGGAAGGCTATTAACTATTTAACTCCTCCGAGGATCATACTTGCTCTGGTCACAGCATGGGTGAGACGTGGCCGTTGGTTTGATGATCAGGTATTCTTTCTTCTTTGTAGATGTTATTTTCATTTACTTAGCTTATTGAAGAAAAATTAACTCTCCTTAATAAATGGTTAGAAAAAATATTTTTCCTTTTATATACCCTATAGAGTTCTCATTTTAAATATTGTGATCCATCGTTTCATATTTATTTTCACGTACTGATCACCAACTCAACTCATAGTATGAGCAAATGGTATCTGTTGACCTCAATTTTGTACCTCTAACGTGATCAACAGATCCCAAAGGCAACTTGCGTCCACATAAGTCAGTTCTTGTACACTGGGACAAATCGTTAGCCACATGTGACCTTCCCCATTGGTGGTGGGGTTGGCCGCACACACTTCAACTGTCAAGTCAATTTATAATACATGTGTTTTGAGTGTGGGAGGTGCTCTAGACGCGAGCCTCCTATGGGTCATCTTTGTGGGTATTCTAGAGAAATTGCAAAAGTTATATGTTGAGGGCATAAACTTGCATTACCTTTGGAATAGCACATTGCTTAGCTTTTATAGCAAAAGATGATGGATAATAACCGTTGGATGGAAATATATGTGGCCTCATCCAGACAGCTGAGGCTTATTGTCATAGGCATAACCAATCATAAGTATTTAATGCTAATACCATTTTATTGCCCAAAAATCTGACACGATACTTAACTTGACCTATTTGGTTGGGTGGAGCGGTGGTAGCAGGAAATTGTCACATCAATCATTCATTGAAGATTGTATAAAAGATCCTATGCCGATCTCCTAGCAGCCTGGCCTCGTCCATAAGGGTTTGGATCTCCGTACGGGGTCGACTTCCAGCAAATGTGTTTGGCTTCGCATAGGGGTTCGATCCCTTCATGGGGGTTCGGTCAAACTGCCACTTGGGCAGCATGACATGGAGTGCGGACTTAGGTTCGCTTGCCGCATAACCGCCATGTGGTGGTGCTTGAAGCCTCGCTGGAAGAAGCGTAACAATATCTAATTTGGATTTGGCTTGGTAGTTTGCTTGAAGCAACAACTGGTGAAGACTGAAATTCAAGAAAGAAAGCATGCACTAGAAGTTGGAATAAATGTTAGTTTTGCATGTATATGGCCTGATAATTTTTTTACGGATTAATCCTTGATCCCTAAATTTAGATAGCTTCAATAAACACAATGAATCAGAAACACGCACAAACACACACATTTATATCCAGCCTTGATATGAGAGGGACTTCCACTCATTGCTGTACAGTTTCACTATGAAGAATAAAAATGATTATGATGGTATTTCCTCTCCTCTCAATCAGTGTCTCACCCAAAACCGACCCCCTATATCGTTTTTTTGTGTTGAAATATTAGGTCGATCTGTGCAAGAGGGGATAAGTGTGGTACGATTAGGCTCCACATGGTACATCAGAATTTCCATTTAGTCACTTGAAGAAAAGCTTTTGGTGTTATATAATCCAATAATCTATCAAAGCAGGAAGATCTGGCTTGATATTTGATGTTGTATTCCTGCATATAAAGATGTTTATTTACTATATATCTTTCAGGGACGAGCACTTTACACTGCAGAGGCAGATAGACTTCGCAACTGGGCAGAAAGTCGAACCCGGTTTTCCTTTACTGATGCCATGGAGATGTACACAGAAAATACATGGGTTTCCGTTTTTTCACTTTCAGTGGTATGTGCATTCATCATCTTATCAAGTACAGGTAACACATTTCCCGGGACCTGAACGTGGAAAACTCACTGCCAGTTGAGCAATTTAAGAAACACAGGACGCCTCTGTAAATGTATTGGTGAATTAACAAGAAGCAAAGGGGTGCACAGTTTTTTCTCCCTGCATTCTTATTGTGATGCCGATTCTTGAACAATTTAAGAGAATCGGCAGGTCTCGTATTGGCGCGGGCTCCGCGTTCTGTCTTAATCTGGCTTGTAGCTTTTCTTCAAACACGATCTTATGTGTAGTATCTCTTCATTATAAAGAACTGTGTATTTATAGGATGCTTGCAAGAATTAGGTCTATTGTTAATACAATTGGAAAGTGTACAACAATACATAATTTCACCTTTGTTAGTTGTTCCTGTAATTTGTGAAATTTTATTGTAGTATTTATTACCTTTCGCCCTATTATCTAATTGCACCATATTTTATGTTGTAAGAACATCACCAAGAGAATCAACGTCTCTTGAAAGTGTGAGTTTTTTATAACTCAATATTAGAGAATTTTTAAATTTAAATAGTGAAATATTTATATACTCAAAAATGCTTATATTTTGATTCTTCAAAATTTTTTTCAAGAAAAATATTTATTGATTTAATCTCATATTTTATTTATTATATTTTGTTATATATTAAGGACAATCAATTCAAATATGATTTGAATAATTTAAAAAACGAAGTCTGTAAATTATTAAAAGCAATAATTATAAAGTGATAATAGAGATTGAGTTTGATTCTTCTCTATTTTAAAAAGTAGCTTATTTTTAAGCTAAAAAACAAAATGAAGAAACAAAACATAGAGCATTTTTGGATTATATAAAAATCCTACTCTCTATATTTAAATAAGTTTTTTATTATGCATAAGATGCACTTTTAAATAGAGATTTTCTTGGAGATCCTCTCTTTTCCGTCCCCTCGAAAATCTAGACAAAGCGGGGGGAAGTGATAATTGTCTCGATCCGTCCGTTGCCATCTCTATTGCACATTAGCATTACGATCTATCTCCAATTACTATAGGTAATGGAAGAAACCCTACAATTTTGACCATTTTCTTCACTTAACTAAGTGACTTGATTGATCATAAATTAAAGTAAGTTAAATTGATGGCACTAAATTGAAGTTCAATAATCTAGTTATAAGTATGGTAAAAGTTTAGTGACCTAGTTTCTAGTATGATGAGCGGCCTCGCTGGCAAGAGTAATTGATTGATACGTTGGCACGTCGTTAGTTTTGATGAACGTGTAATGTAATCAGCGTTGTTCACAAAATTCAAACTGAGTGACCTAATCGCTCGTAAATTTAAAGTCCAAATCAAAGCTGAGTGACCTAGTTGCAAGTATTGTGAAAGTTAAGTGATCTCTGCTACAATTTACTTGAAGAAATATACGAAAGTTAAGGGTAATTGCGTCATTTTAATACAAATACCCACCCCAATCCGAGATCATTCGTCTTCGTCTTCGTCGGCTTGTGCTATCTACGAATACTTCCTTATAGATTTGAGTATTATCGAATAAATCGGTGTGAAAATGTCGGGAAAAGGTGCAAAAGGATTGATTATGGGCAAGTCCTCGGCCGCAGGGGGAAGCAAGGACAAGGATAAGAAGAAATCCATCTCTCGATCATCTCGTGCCGGACTCCAGGTGCCCCCCATCCTCGTTCTCCCTTTTAGAATTTGTAAAATTATTTTTGATTCGTGTATCTGTTTCGATTTTCTTTAATTTTTTTTTGGGCTTTGAAGATGATTTGTTTTGTTGTTAAGTTTTTTTGGTGTTTGTAGAACGTTTGTAGGGTCTTGATCGTTTTTTATGTTCTTTTTGTAGTTATAAGTGAGGTTAAGTTTTGGAGTAATTGTGTGTTGGTTTATCTATTTGGTGTTTGGTTTGAAATTGGCTGCTGCTGATTGTTCTTAAGGAACGTTGTTATTTATGATGATTATTATACAATTTCTGAGTTTTTATTCAATCTTAGCGGCTGCTTTTGAGGAAAATTTGTCTTCTTTCTTTTTTGATTTATGAAGAAAAATAGGAAAAACGTTGTTATCTTCTCATATTAATCACAAGTTGACTTAACTTCACTGTTGCTAATAAAAAAAAAATCTTTTTTTGTGAAGTATTATTCCTTATGACTAGAAGTCTTTGAGTTTGACTTCGTAGTTACCCAAAATTCAGATTTTTTGCTATAGTGGCTTTATCTGTACTTGTGCTAATGTTCTATCTACGTGCTACATATAAAGAGGAGTGTATCTTTCAGTGGTATCAACACTTCCTCTTTTGGCTGCTGGATGCAATGTTTGAACGTGTGATTTTAATAAAATCTGAATTGGCTATTAACAGCTCGGAACTTCTTATGGCTTCAAGCTTTTTCCTGACTTGACATTGACATCTTTAAGTCTAAATTGGCCAGCAAAAATGTGGAACTACTTCGAAGTCTAAAGTTTTCTACAGGAAAATAAAACATACAAAAAAATTCATATATTGAAGAATAATGACAACTGTTGGTTGGTTGCTTTAAAAATCTATTCAACTTCATATAGATTGGCGCTACTAAATCTGTACCTTTAAATTATTTATATGTTTTATGGTTATGATTTTAAGTGATAAAAATCTAAAAATTTATAAGGTACTTTAAGACAAATAAAGTGAATTAGGATTCATGATCGAAGTATCTTGTAACCCAATCTCATTCTACCCTGCTGGACTAACCTTACTCCTTTTTTTCATGTGATCCCAGATTAGTTCGATGAATTTGGAACGCAGGATCGTATGATTAAGTCATGTTTTTAACAACTATGGTAGCAGATATGTTTATTTTCACAACGGTTGTCTTGGAATTAAAAATATAAGAAGAATCAGTTTTAGGAATTCATTAGTGTCTTCCACATTTGAACAAATATGCATGGAGACGAGGGCAGCCTTCAACAGAGAAATATATACAATAATATGATGTCAACTCATGACTATGACGTAACTGGCACTCATCAAACAACTGGTAATGAGAGACTGGAAGAACAGTCTCTAATATGTATGTAACCAGAAAATCCCCTCCAACCATGCAAATAACCCAAACATTAAACTAACTCAGGATATGTTGCATTTCTGCATTCAGTTGAAGTTGGCGATTAATTCATATAACCAGAATTTGGCTTGGTCACTCTAGATTGCATGGTCTCAGGAGACTTGATTGTCATGATTAAATGGGCATGTATTGTTTGCTCAGTTTCAGGATTTTAAGTCATGCTTAGATTTAATATAGCACATGCAACTCTACCTGATTACTTGTGTTACCAACTGACGGACTGCTAACAGATGGGAACAATTGATACTCAAATCACACTCCACCATTTGACTCTATAACTAAGTGTTTCTGAGAAATGTTTTGTAATTGTCTAAAGCAAGTATTGTTTTGAAAAAACGGGCGGGACAGTAAAAGAATGGTGAGAGGTTCCCTCAGAAACCCTTGGAAGTTCATGTCCTAAGAATTTCCTTATTTTCTATAGAGTGATAGTAGTGTGTGTTAGCAAACAACTCTAAGCTCATTCGCAATATGGGATGTGGTTGCAGGGGATAGGATTTGTTATGAGAGGAAGGTTGGGTTTGTTTATGTCTTCTTCATTTCTTAGACCCTGCAATATTTCTTTGCTTAAATGTGTTCCTATAATTCTATTATCTATCTGAAAATGGTACAGAATGAATTGGATTCTCTGTTTCAAAGAAACTTAAGGGCTTGAGAGATTTCAGATATGTCATTTTTATTGACTAATCTTGATAAAGTTTATTTGAAACCTTCTTGAATTGACAATAGGTTGTGGATATTAAAGTCATTGAACTATTTTTCTTGCAAACCATTCTTCCGAACTCTTGTTGATTCGGAAAACTACCCATCTTTGCCTTATTTAGGTTCATTTGGAAATCTTGCACCCCGTACAGACTTGAGGTGTTTGATGAGAAAATTAATACTTGTTAATTGGTTCAAAAGAAGTGTCCTTATTTGTCTCTATCCCTTCGTGGTATGTGATGTGTAGAAAGGATTCATAATGTATTTGATTCTTTGAAAATATAACTATGTATTCGGTATTTGGCCAGAGGGAAACAATATACTTTTTGAAAGATATTGGACCAAGAAGTTCTAGCTTATAGGATAAAGCCAACTTTTTGCACTCGTTTTTCCCCCATTATTTCACATGATAACGAGAGGAATAGTAATTTTTTGGAGAATGTATTATGTTAAAAAAGAAGGAAAAGTTTTTGGATTTACGTGTAATATTATTTTATTGGAGAATGTCCAGTTGATAAGAAGAGAGAAAAATGAATTAAAATTTAATAGGGAATAGTGGATGTAACACCCCAATTTTCATAAACCTTGAAGTGTTAGCTAAAATTCACTTTTCTTTGTATTGAAGGCAAAACGATAAAATAATATAAAAAAAATAACTGGATTCTCCATAAATTTAAACTAAACATGAAAATTGTATATTTAAGAAAATAACATAATCATTAATTAAATAACATGTTTTTGAATAAATAAAACTAACTAATAAATTGAAGAAAAAACTTAATGTTTATTTTTCTCTCATTCCCTTTGGCAGTCCACATCACCATCTCGCTATAGTTCCAATCGATCCGAATTAACCTGTAAAGTTATTGTAGGAGTGAGTATTTAAAAATATCCAATAAAATACGTGTAGTTTCCATAGACAATTATATAACAATAAAATAGACCATTCGTGCCACTTTTTTTATGGAGTATATCGATAACCAAGTGACACATCCATCAGTAGTATTTTGAATTCTCGAAGGATTTCACATTTCATTAAGTCGAATCCGAAAGTTTACTGACAATTCATGCATAGATTATTGAATATAAATATATACGGAAATAAATCACTTGCACAAAGTATCTTACCTTGACTTTGAAAGTTAAAAAGAATAGAATCTTGCACGGAAAAGTTCTCTTATTATTTTTCTCTATTTTTTCCTCTCATCTCTCTCTATATATACCGTCGCTCTTTTTTTTTTTTTGTCGTGAAATATTGATAATTATTACAGTATTTATAGTTGAAATTCTCAATTGAGTTTGTATGCAACTAGAATTGAAAAACGGTGTAATATAAAATAAGAATTGATTTCAAATAATAGATTTATGATTACTATT